ATGAACCGTTCGAGAAGTTTCTTCAAATTGTTATCATGTGCTTCTTTTGTTGTTCCAAACACAATCACATCGTCTTGATATGCCATAACACCGCGTAACCTAGACACAACATTGTCTATTGTAGACTGAAAGATTCCGGATGATACATGCAAACCGAACGGAAGAAAATTGTCCTGGAACAATCCTCACGGTGTTTTGATCGTCGTAAATGCCCTCGAATCTGGATGTAATGGAATTTGAAGATAGGCATCTGCCAGATCGATTTTGGAGAAAAACTGACAACCGTGAAGGGGATCCATGAAGTCCTCTGTCTCCATAGTCATCGCTGCACATTTTCGCAATCGGGGATTGATTGTCAATCGGTAATCGTCACATATCCTCGGAGTTCTGGCATCACATTTCATCGCGACAACAATAGGAGTTGTCCATGGTGATGACGTCACTCTAGAAATAACATCAGTCTTCTCCATGCGGTCGATCGCATTTAGCACACCTTCGCGTTGTCCATATGGTAAGACAAGCCTTTTTAGGAATACTGGTTCACTGTCGACCTCCAAAACTGCCTCAGGAACGTTTATTCCTCCCGCATTCTTAGTACATGGGATTACCAGCTTTTGAATTTCCTCAGTTGTGTCGGATTTCAGTTCGTTGGTATGTAGGGATAAGGAATGTCCTAGCGTTCTCATTACCATCAATCCAAGAAAAGACGGACTGTCTTGTGACACCAAGAATCGAATGGGCACACAACTGTTATCCTGGGAATGAATCGACAAAATTGTCTCACCCATCAGTGGAAGGTATCCAGTTACACCATAGATTCGTGTTGTGGTCGGTTTTGCGGTAGCACTTGGGCACAAATGTTTCAGAGCTCCGCGTGAAATGATGGACTCACCACTGCCGGTATCCACAATAAAACTGTGTCGAACGCCGGATTCGAAAGTAATATTGTTGTAAATGAACTGCTTGTATTTGCCCATTAATATCAATGTATAAATTGGGTTGACTCCTTCTTGACAACACGGTGTACTCATCATATTGCATTTCCTTTGGCGGCATACCTTCTGAATATGACCAACTTTACCACAGGAATGACACTTTGCATCTCGGAATCGACAGTTGCACCCCAAATGGAATTGACCGCACGACATACACTGATTGATATTCGTGGTTGGGGTCCTCTGGTCAGAGTAATTGGTCGTCTGATTATGAGGAGATTTGGACTGCATTCCGTGAACTACTCTGGAATAACGCAGACGACTCACGAATTGTTGCTGCAGTGAGATCATCGTGCTGCTCACATATCCTTTGAGCATCGGAAAATGTTAGATCCTTCTTTTCCAGCAACTTTCTCTGGAGATTCATATTGTTAATGCGTACAATATAGCGATTACACAATTGCTCCTCCAGTCTGTCTCCATAGTTACACTTGGAAGCCTGTTTATTGAGCGAAAGGATGAAATCTTCACAGGGCATTGACTCGGCACGAGCCAACAAATTGAATTTTGCCCTCTCAGTAGCTTGGAAATCAACAGGAATCACGTGTGCAAGAAGTTGTTTCAGTATCGGTATCGGTATCAGTATTGTAACTTGGCCAGATTGTCGGGGAAGGCGAGGTTCTTCAGCAAAGAATACATTTTCTTTCCACCTACCGTGAGAAATAGTATGGATTTATCCTGTTTTCCGTTCGGCTATAGGCTGCACCAAAGCTCAAAACGTTCGACGCATTCTCCAATCTCAGACGGATGTGAATGTAGATTTAGGGATTCGATAGTGAACAACTCCATGCCGCGACGTCAATGGTAATATTCGGAATAAGAATCGAAATTGAACAGCGCGAACTCGGTATCGGACTGAAAACCCACTGAATAGCGCAAAGCCAGGTAGACGAGCTGTAGATACAGTTAATTGTATTAAGAAAATCATGGAAATATTTATTACAGGCAACAAACAATCATTGGTCGATTCTTGAATGTCCAATCGACAAGGTGTGATGTGTGACACTGACCTCGAAATTTCCTATACACTTTTAATACATTCAATATGCATAGTATACGATTTGAATAAAGTTCGTGTGCTATTCTATTCGAAGTTGTTCTATTTCGGGTATTGGTATTGCGCGAATTCTGGAATCCCATTTTAAATACTATTCCAAATACTACATTTGGCGTTGCGGCCGGTCTACTGAACAATGAATTCTACTCTCCTAGAATTTCTTGATCTTAACTGTAGTGCGCGCGATATCGAGGATTATTTTCAACGTTTTGATATTTGGTAGTTGAACCATTCAAAGCGTGATGAGGAAAAGAAATTCGCTTTCTTTTAGAATGCTGCCGGTAAAAATGCTTATACATTAATTAAAAACTTGACTCATCCTTCTCCACCTGTTTCGTACCGTACGATGATTTAAAATCACTCCTCTTCCAGCATGTGATGCCAACCAACTTCGAAGCCTCAGAACGAGCAAACTTTCATTCAACGGTACGCAATCCGAATCAGGGCATCCGTGAATTCATCCTGGATTTGCTCACTCAAGCTGCGAAGTGTGATTTTGGAGATTTACTGGACATGCAATTGAAAGATCGGCTGATCGCTGGCATCAACAATACCGTTTTGCAAAATGAACTTCTGAAGCTATCCAATCCGACGTTCAAAGATGTGCGGGCTTATTGTGAACAATATCAGGACATTCGCGCCGCTACTCTATCCATGCCGTCCACCATTGAATCCACAGCCATGCTCAATTCACTCAAGACTAAATCCACGAAAGTTCATGCTACAGCCGCACGCTCCAAACCAGTCACACAATCTAACTCACACAATGTGACATATTCGGATAAATCCTATGGCAATTGTGCAACCTTCGGCAAACGTCATTCCAGATTCACATGTCGATTTTGTTACGCTTTATGTCATAAGTGTGGCAAAACTTGCCATATTCAGTCTGTTTGTCGCAGTACCAAAATCTGTCGTTTAATTCAAGCCCGGGACCCAGAAGTGAGTAATACGGCCAGACATCTTTTCTTCTTTATATCTGGCAATTACCTCCCATTCCGGTCACATCCGTAAACGACTATTCACTTCCACTGGTAATTCGCTTCATTTCATTTTGGACACTGGTAGTGTGGAATCTCTAATTTCTGTTCACGATTTAAAACTGTTTGCTCCAGATGCTAAACTTCAGCCGTCCACTGTCACCATTAATGGCATCACTGGACACTCACTGCCTGTTGTTGGTTCTTGTGAGATTTCAGTCAGTGATGAACATTCTAAAACTGTTACTTGTACATTCATTGTAACCAAATCTGGCCCATCCATACTAGGCTTGAAAGCCATGCAAGCATTCAATGTCAATCTTTCCTTACTAACCTCTATCGATACTGAAAATGAATTGAAGGATTTGATTATTAAATGCTCAAAGGCCAGTGGTGGCATGCAAATTTCCCCAGTGA